GAGGCTGGATGCCTACCTGGCTGGACTTATTTGAGTCCCGTTTCTTGTTTTGGGGTTTTGTTGTTCTCCCGCCCTGGCAGGGGGTCGGGCTAGAAGATCTACTAGGTCCCTTCCGACCCTAAATCTATGAAACTATGAAACTATGCTTTGAGATTTTAAGACATGAAGAGTGGGATTTTCAAAATGTAATTTAGACCTAATGTAAGATCTCAGGTGAGCCAGGGGCCTGTGACCCCCTTTGATGTGGCCTGCCACCCAGGACTGACCCTTTGAAATAGCCCTTCAGGGCCAAAACACTGGGAACCCCTGGGGTGGATGGACCTTGAACCCATTGTTGTTTATATTAACAAAATAAAACCAATAAGAGATGCACATCTGACAATCAGTGTAGATTTCTTTTCTTTTTTTAATGAATGCACAGAAAGGGCTAAAAAGTGGAAACTTTGTTTTTGTGTTGTGAGAAGGAGATGGGAACAGTGTGGTCTGGACGCTCGCAGTTTCCCAGGTCCAAGGCCACCTTTCAGAACAGCCAAGTGCTGCTCACAGAAAGAGTGAGAACTTCATCCTCTGGCAAGGCCAAGGAGCCAGAAGCAAGGTCTTTGCTGCAGCTGCTGTCATTCTGCCTTGCAGTAAGACAGAGGACATATCTCTCACTTTATCACCATGCCTCTTTCTGACATTACAAGAGTGCATTGTAAATTGTACAAGGGGCCTGGGGGCCTAGGGCTCTGCAGTCCTATTTGTCCTCTGATACTCTTCCAGCTCATTTTTCCTGTTCATGGCTAGCTGCAGCTCCTGTTTGATCACTTGAATCTGCTTCTCCAACTCTGTGAGCTCTTGGATCACTGAGGTCCTAGCAATATTAAGGGAGTCTGCTTTCCCGTTGGTAGTCAGGGAAGTAGGAGTCTCTCTCCGCATTTGGGGCAGAGGTATGTCCTGGTGCTGCCGGGTGGTCACCTCGTTTTGCCCTTCGTCTGTGTAGATGTATTTCCGCCGGTGGCAACTGCCAGGGTTAGCTGTATTCCACACTGAGTGCTGACTGTTCCCTGCATTGGACCTGCACAAAGAGTTGATAATATTTAAAATTAAATCATTTCACTCTTCTGTGTTCACACAGCACTTCCAGGTGTGGGGGACATCTCCCAACATTTGAATAGGAGCCTCACACCCCAGGAAGGGTTCTGGTTGATAAAGGGTTAATTGGAAGACTAGTTACCTCCCTCAGCTGGGCTAATTGCAAGCCTGCAGCAGCTGGGGACTTGCCAAGGGTGTATGTAGAGCACAAGGCTTGGGGAGGAAGGGAGGATGGTGAGGGGATAACTTTCAGGAGGGTTACCCTGGGAAGAAGAATATGAGAGAGGAAGGAGACAAGCTGCCTTGCAGAGAGTGGAAGAGGGGAGGTAGGATCTGACCAGGGGAAACAACAAAGGGTGGATTTGCTTTAAATAGGCAGCCTTTGGCTTATACATCTGATAGTGGGGAGTGGGCTTGAGTTTCTTTATCCATTTCTCCCAGCAGAGTGATGGCTGAAATTGGTGGAGACTTTGAGTGCTGTTCCCTCTGCTCCAGCCCTATGATAAAGCCAGACATATGTCTAGCTCAGACAGAGAGCTGTTGTGGGGACTGGACTGGAAAGGCAAGGAGTCATGACTATGGCTGGGAAGGAGCAACAGAAGCCAGATTGCAGCCAGTGTGGGCAAAAGGTAGGAACTGGGCAGTCTAACAGGAGGATGACACTCAGATGTGTGACATCCTTGAAGAGCAGAACAGACCTGGCTCCAGCTGGGGCTACCAGGCTTGGAAATGCTGAGATCCCCACCTTAAACTGTGACTCCTAGGGATTCCTGGGTTCCCTGCTTGGCTGTGGAGAGCAGAGAACTGCTGCATGGTCTACTTGATGCATCTGCCCTGGAGCTGCAGGCTTCAGCAGCCTACCAGGTTTGAAAAAGTTTGTCAATACTCCCTCTCTTTGTGAGACGTTACATTTTCTGTAAATCATAATTTTCTGGTGCAAAATCAGTTTTGTCAGAAAATTTCAGGCCAGCTCTAGCAAAGGGCTGTAGGGGAGCCCAGAGCAGCTGGTAGGAAATACCACGCTAGCAATTTCAACCTGTCTCTGGTGGGGATGGGTCTGAAGGCCACTTGTACAAACGGCTCCTGACTCTCGCCATTAAAGGAACAGATGTCTAAAAAAACAGATAACAAGGGGCTTGATCCTGAGAGTTTATAAGCAAACTGCGGAGGCTGAGCATCGCTGATAATCAGGCTACTTCTTTCTAGATGCCTGGAAAATGGAGCAAAGAGTCGCCTCAATTTTGGCTACGTGGAGTTTGTAATGGTAAGAAACAGGAACGAAAAGTGCATTCAGTCTCGCACTTACTTGAGTAAATTGCCTTGAATCTAGTATGTATGGTTGACCAGTTGGCATTTAAACAGAGTAGAAAGACTCTTTGATAATCTTGTCTCTTAGGTGCTTATTTTGTTAAATTCACAAATGATGCAGTTCTCTGGTATGATGGGCTCTTAACAGCAGGGGGCCTCAGAAATGACACGTTTTCCAGCATTTATTGGCGTGTTTGGAATACATCTTGCAGCTTTAGGCATAGCAAGAAGTGGTTCTGACTGCATGTGTTTTCAGATTAGTACACTAAACAGCATGGGTGCTGCTTTTTTTTTTTTCCATCTAACTACAGAAAAGAGAGTGGAGAAAGTTTTAAGTATATCTGGTGCCAGTAATGCAGATCATACATTTAACCATGGATATCGCACCCTTTGAAGAAGTAGGTCAGGCCTCAGTGAAAAGCTATTTCCCCTAAGATGGCTATATAAAAGCTCTTATGACTCCAAAGAGCTCAGCAGAACTCCCTGAATTTCACTTACTCTTCTCCTATACAAGCCATTTGGCACGTGTAGCAAGTCTTAGTCATTTACCTACCAACAGAAAAAAGGGAAAGTTTGATAACTCTAAATCCTGGATCTACACAAGGATTTGGGTGCCTGTCTGATTTCAAACTGGAGAGGCAGTGAGGTGTCTAAAACACACTCCTGTAGAGCTAGCCCTTAATATTTCCATAAAGTTTTATATTATCAAAAGTCGCATTATTCTTAAGAATGAGTCCCAGCTGCAGTGAGGTGGGCACAAACTATCATCCGCTACTTAAATAGTAAAGTGGAAGCAAAAAGGTTCAGTTGGCTTTCCCTTGGAAAGGGAGATGGAAAGCAGAAGATTGTGGGATGGTGGGAGTCCTAGGGAGCCTCATCCCACTATGTGAAACCATAGAGGCACATGATGTCACTCTCTCACATAGTTCTTGGCTGAAATAGCTAAGTGTTTATAGTGGAATCACAAGTGTTTTTTTTGCCAGAAACTACTTGAACACTTGTATGCTTATGTCTTGTACCAGGAAAAGGGCATATTTCCTGGTGCAAACATAATACCTGTCCATTATACTCAAATGCATTGTTCTCAAAATGGTTCAGATCTCACATAGCAGGTATAATGCGCTTTTTATGAGAAACCCTTCTTTGGAAGAAGGGCCTTACTCTGTATTAAGGATGGTATTAAAGACCAATATTTGAATGACTCCATCCATCCCCCCCCACCCCCTGACATACTACAGTCCAACACATAAGACTCTTCACAGAGCTGTCCCATTGCTGCTGCTTGTAGTGGTAGTGGAAGGTCCAAAGAGGATGGAAATAAGTCTTTGAATAGTAGCTATGTTGTCTATTACACGTGCATTCAGAGTTAGAGGTAGGTGGGGATCATAAAATAAATGAACCCCATTCCATGTTAGGTGTGGAGGTCGTGCGGATATGTGAGCAATGTCTTAGACGAGCCTTTCTGGAACTTTTGAATGAAGAAAGTATTGAAGGGTCCTTCTAGAGAAATGGCAGAAATAACTTGTGCTGTATTATAAATGGTGAGAAGTGGGGAAGTAGCAATAATACAACAACCTCCAGGAGGAATAAAAAAGTCATTTAATTGATTTGAGAGCACAGTGCATCCCCTGCTATATTAGTATTCATTATGGTTGTGTGTTGTAGGTTACCAGAAGCCTTGAGCTGAATTCATCAGGGTCCTGTTCGTACTGCAGCTTGAGCCATATTTTTAACAAGGGTGTTTAGAACCTGATAGCAGCAACCCTGTCTAATCAGAGGTTGCAAAACTGCCCTTCTGCATCTCCCCCTTCTTTTTAAGCATATTTTCATGGTTTTTATCTCTAAACCAGTTGTATAGGGAGTGTCTGCATGTATTTTCTGCACTTTGTCAGCAGAAAGCCCTGCCCAAATTGTATTATTCTGTGGTGTTCTGCTTTTATCTCTCAATTTTAGGGAGTGTTGGTTTTTTTTTAAACAGCAGCTAAAAAGCTTTCACATGGAAAAGAACACGGGAGCCAAGACCCCCACAAATACACTAAAAAGCTATTCTACGTTGGTTTCTTGGTGTCACTTGTTACGAAGTCTGGCACTTCAGGGGCCTGAACATTTCTGCATCAGTCACCTTTTTGAAAGAAGTTTCTTTGCACCTCCAAATGTTTGTGCTTCCGAATTTAAGAAGCTGCAAGGGAAAGGATGTGAGCATGATCTGAGCTTCCTTAAGAAGTGACAGAGAAGGTGGAATAAACACTGGAAGGATGAGCATTCATGTTTCTGTATATGTACAAATGTCACCCTTCATTTCCTCACATGACCCATTTGTCCGAAAGCCTACTTTTCAAGTACATATTCAATGACTCCAAAACTAATAAACCAAATGAAATCCATATTTGTGTCTCCATCATGATGGCAGAGAAGGTCTTTTCTTGGATACAAGTCATGGAGAGTTTTTTGGCAGTAACTTGCAAGAGTGCTACCTTGACTGATCTTCATCTTTAGTTGCCTATAGGGAAGCAACACTATATCTAGATTTCCTTCATACAAGTACCACTTCAAAAACATTGCCACCCATGGCAACAATGCTCAATTGAAACCTTTCAAGTTCTTTCTTAATGTGAGCCAGCACCCTGTTTTAGGATGACATACTATCCTTATGGTTCAGTTTGTTTGTACTTTGTTTAAGATGCTTGGTGTTTTATAGAGAGACATACAAACAAGGTGCTTGCTTTTTGGGTTGGTCCCCGATTTATAGTCAATTCTTGTGGCAAAATGGTTGCCTGGAGCCTGGGTTTCAGTATTAGGGTACCCTTCGTGGAAGACAAGATTGCCCTACATGCTGTTTGGCCATCTTGTGTCTGGGATGCTGCCTGGACATCCCCCATGCTTGGCAAAAAGGTAACAGAGGATAAAAAGGAGTGTCAACATTTATAAAAATGTTGGGCTGGCAATGAGTATTGGGAAGATATTTGGGTTTTTTGGATTTATGAATTCTAGTGTGGACAAAATGTTAATGAATAAAAATATCTCCTTATTAAATTAAAACTATTCCATTTTTCCTTCTCTCTGCACATCTGAAGAAGTGGAGCCTGCGCTATTATTGGCTAATCATCAAAGTGACAGTTTTCTCTGAGCTTCTGTGGAATATCTTTAGGTTCATAACTAAATAGCCAGTCTGAACAAATTTAGTTTCAAAATAAGCCTATAAGGCAACTTCTTACCTCTTTTCTACTCGTTTTGTCTTGGGCTCATGTTTTTCTTCAATAAATGAACTGTTCAGCGCACGATGTAATCTCTAGTGAAAAACAAATTGGAGCAATTTCAGTGCAAATAAAATGAAATTTCCCCCTCTTCTTGGGATGGACTTGGCATGTGATCTGCCTGAATACAGGTACAGCATTCTACCCCTGTCCACCCAGCCACACATTCAGGGATACAAACAAACGTTAACCTCATATATACTGAGATGGAGGTTTCCTACTATATCGGGAGAAAAGTGGGGTTTTGGCCTTAATATGAATCTTACCTTGCTATAACATTTTAAGAAAGAATGGATTTCCCTGTGGTTCTTTTTCTTGGTATCTCTAAAATGCAATTTTTGTACCTTTTATGAAGTTATTAACCAGCAAGACTGCTACTTTTTATGTACTACCAAAGGCAGACAGAAAAAAACTGATTTGCCTCAGCTTCATAAGAAGAATGACCAAGGAAATGAGCTCACATTTTTTGTATGTATAGAAAGCGTAAGAGCTGATATTCCAAAATAAAATACAAGATCATAGAAAATTAGGGCTGGAAGAGACTTCACAAGGTCACTTAGTCCAATCCCCTGCTCAAGGCATTATCATCCCTAACTAAAGCATCCCAGTCAAGTATTTATCTAACTTGTTCTCAAAAGCTTCCAAGGATACTTGTATATCCTTAACAAGCTACAGTGTAGTGTGGATTCTACCTTTCCAAGAACTCAAAAGTACTCAAGTGGGGCTATTTCTACTACCAACTATGTTTAAAATATCCTCTTTTTCTCTTTACAGAGAAATACTATAGTTCTTCTTGGTTCACAACTTCCAGAAATGACTCGGCACTCAGCCAAAACCTAGTCTGTCCAAAAAAGGTTTTACCCTAACTAGCAGTGTGTGGGATACAAGTCCACAGCCATCCTCTTATGAGTAGACATAATTAAATGGAGGTCAGTGATGTCATGCAAAGGTTATACCAGCTGGTCTCCTCTCTTATTCTATCTCCTACATGCCTGCATGCATGATGAATGACATCTGAATGACAGTAACAGCTTAGGAAGTTCCACAATGACTCCTAGTGTTGCTTCAAGAATGTGTCTTTGACTAGGAACAGACATTGCATTTCACCTGGGACCAGTTGTACCTGTGTCCTGGGACAGAAAAGTCCTGGGATTGGCATGTATAGTAAAATCTCATTAATTTGATATTGGATAGTTCAAAGTGTTGGCTACCTCACCTCAAAAATATTGTCATGCCCCAGCCAAAAGGATAGATTTTTGCATGTATTACAATATGGATCATATGAAATATGGCTACTTTCAAATTCAAAGCCATTTTTGGTCCTTTTGGACCATAAACCCATAAAAACTGGTTTATTTACTTCAAAATACAGTACAGTAATACCGTGTAGATAACACTGCAAAACTAGTCTGCAGGGATGGTGTCCTTTTCTAGTCGTTGTATGCCATGCATAGCAACAGCCCCACTACTGATCAATAACATGCCAGTAATTTTATATTGCCAGAACTGTACATACCTCTCAGTTGTGCGTAAGTCCAGCAGGGCTGAGTGTCATGGCAACCAAGAGGAAGTATAATGAGTTAACAATTTTGCAGAAGTTGAAAGTGATATACGAGGTAGATAAGGGAGAGGAGATCCAAAATGGGAATTGCTAAAGAGTATGGCATTTCTCTTTCTACACTTTCAACCTATTTGAAGAAGCAGGATTCAATAGAGAAGATTGTAACGGAAGGATATGAAACTGGGGCGAGGAAAAGAATCTGAGGTACAAAGCATTCAGAATTAGAAAAATAACTATTTGAGTGGTTTTGTGATGTAAGGTGAATACTATTCTGATATCTGGGAAGCAGACAACATTGCATTGAATCTAGGAACCAAGTTTCAGTGGTTTAATGTTTGGCTCCAGAGAGTCCAACCTTGTCACAACACCTTTAGGCTTTCTGTACTCAGCGAAGAATATTCCATCAATGCCATGGCTACATAAAATTAGCATGGAAATGTGAAGCCAATTCTGGATAAATACATGCCAAAGAACATGTTCAATGCTGATGAGATGGCACTTTTTTTATAACCTGCAGCCTGATAGCACAGTGGCACTTAAAGGAGAAATGTTTCACAGTGGGGAGAAAAACAAAGAAAGGTTCACTGTACTATTCTGCTTTAATGCCAATGGTAGTGAGAAACTACAGCCACTACTGGTGGGGAAGTTTGAAATAGTGTATGAAGGGTGTGAAACACCTGCAGTGCCTATACAGGGCCAACAATAATGCATGGATGACAATTAACTTGTTTTGAGAGTGGCTGCTCCAATTTGAAGAAAAAACGGCATGCCAAAATTGATATGTGCTTCTACCAATTGATAATTGTTCAGCTTACAATTGGGAAGGACTAGGACTGAAGCACATGTGATCTTACTTTCTCTCAGCAAACACCATGAGCTACATGAAGCCCCTAGATCAGAGAATAATACACCACATTAAGTCGGCATACCAGAAACAACCAGCAAGTTACCTGCTGCAGGGGGTTTCCTGGAAAGCAACAGTTCCACAAGAAAGGAGCATTCCTGATGCTATGAGGAATGTCATTATTGCATGGGATAAAGTTCCACTCCACATCATCACCAGTTGTTTTGTAATGGGAGGGTTTGGCACCAAGGCTGGCAAAAAAATTGAGTTTAAGCAAGATGTGATTGGCCTGCTGCTCACAAACAGGGAAGAATTGGTGGGGAGTGTTGTAATGGATGGCAACTTGGGCAGCAGTGACCATAGGATGATTGGGTTAAGGATCCTGAGGAAAGGAAGGAAGGACAGCAGCAGAGTTAAGGACCTTGGACTTCAGAAAAGCCGACTTGGACTCACTGCCCACAGAACTTATGGGCAGAGTCCCTTGGGAGGCCAGTCTGAGGGAGGAAAGGAGTCCAGAAGAACTGGATGTACTTTAAAGAAACCCTACTGGGGGCACAGGAAGACTAGCAAATATGGCCGAAGACCAGCTTGAATTAGCAGGGAACTCTTCAGTTAGGTAAAACACAAAAAGGAAGCTTACAAAAAGTGGAAATGTGGACAAATGACTGGGAGCATTGCTTAGGCATGCAGGGATGAAGTCAGGAAGGCCAACACGCAATTGGGGTTACAGCTAGCAAGAGACGCAAAGGGTAACAAGAAGGGTTTCCACAAATATGTCACCAACAAGAGGAAGATCAGGGAAAGCATTGGGTCCCTTAGTAAATAGGGAAGCAACCTAGTTACAGATGAAGTAGAAAAGGCTGAAGCACTCAATACCTTTTCTCACCTTGGTCTTCACAGGCAAGATCAGCTCCCAGACTACTGCATTTGGCAGCACAGTTTGGGAAAGAGGGGAGCAGCCAACAGTGGCAAAAGAACAGGTTAGGGACTATTTAGAAGAGCTGGACATGTACAAGTCCATGTAGAAGGATGGGATGCACCCAAGGGTGCTGATGGAGTTGGCTAATGTGATTGCAAAGCCACTGGCCATCATCTTTGAAAACTTATGGTGGTTGGGAGAAGTCCTAAGTGGATTGATGGCATAGAGTGCACCTTCAGCAAGTTTGCAGATGACACCAACCAGGGGAAAAGTAGATATGCATAAGGGTAGGGACAGGATTCAGAGAGACCTCAACAAATTGGAGGATTGGAACAAAGGAAATCTCATTAGGGTCAATAAGGAGAAGTGTGAAGTCTTGCACTTATGATGGAACAATCCCATGCACTAGTACAGGCTGGGGAGCGACTGTAAGCTGAATATGAGCCAAAAGTAAGCCCTTGTTGCAAAGAAGGCTACCTGCATACTGGGCTGCAGCGGTAGGAGTACAGATCAGGGGAAGTGATTGCCAGCAGATCAAGGGAAGTTATTATTCCTCTCTATTCAGCACTGGTGAGGCCACATCTGGGGTACTGTGCCCAGTTTTGCCTCCCACCCCCCCCTACAAAAAGGATGTGGAAAAATTGGAGAGAGTCCAGTGGAAGGCAATGAAAATCGTTAGGGGGCTGCAGCGCACAACTTATGAGGAGAGGCTGAGGGAACTGGGCTTATTGGGTGTCTTTACATGTGCTCTGGTGTGGGGGTGGGGCTTTTTAATTACAGCAACTCTCAGGAGCTACTGTGATTAAAATGTCTGCAGTGTCTCAAGGGAGACAGTTCCCAAGCTTCAAAATGCCAGTAGGGGTGCTTTAACTAAAGCTCGTTCAAAAAGCTTTCATATTGCTAGTTAAAGCATCCCCGCTGCCATTTTAAAATACTGGGAAGCTGAGTACACATGATGCCGTGGCTGCTGGAGCATTCAGATGAGAACATTTCAGCAGACTCAGTTAATCAAGTCTGCTCTGAAGTGCTTTAATTAGAACATGTTGGAGCAGGCATTGGGCACATGCAGAAGTGCTCATTTAGTCTGGAGAAGAGAAGACTGAGAGGAGATTTAATTGCAGCCTTCAGTTACCTGAAGGGGGGTGTTCAAAAGAGGATGGAGCTAGACAGTTCTTAGTGGTGGCAGATGACAGAACAAGAAGCAATGGTCTCAAGTTGCAGCAAGAGAAGTTTAGGTTATATATTAGGGAAAGTGTTCTCACTGGAAGGGTAGTAAAGCATTGGAAAATGTTACCGAGAGAAGTTGTGGGATCTCCATCCTTGGAGGTTTTTAAGGTCCGGCTAGACAAAGCCTTGGCTGGGGTGATATAGTTGGGGATGGTCCTGCTTTGAGCAAAGGTTGGACTAGATGACCTTCTGTGGTCCCTTCCAAGCCTGATTTTCTATGATTCTAAGATGATCCGAACTGGGCTAAGCTTTAGGGAGAAATGGCCTGCCCCACTGAGGTCTAAGAGTTTTTGAATGTTGATAATAAGGTGCTAACTTTTGCAGAAGAAAGTGGTAAAAAAGCAAGTCAAGAAACCCCCATGGAGGAAGACATAGAAGAAAACAAGGAGTTGGAAGAAAATGAGGAGCAAGCACACATACCATGAAAGGATGCATGTGCAGTGCTTGCAGTCCTCAGTTCCATACTGAATGCCAATGCTGCTGC